ACGCTTGTTGTTTGTTGCTGAACTTTGCATTTTGGCAAGGACAGCCAACGGCAGAGAGAGAGAGAGAGAGAGAGAGAGAGAGAGCGAGAAAGTGAGAGGGAACGATGCGTGGATGGGAGCTGCGGGTTCGGGGCCAAGCACAGAATCCCTTCAAATTCATAGATTGAACTTGCACTTGGGCAAAGCAAACACACACACACACACACAGAGGGCAAGGGGCAGGGGTAGCGGGAGGGTGCGCTGGCCGAGGGGGGGTTGTGTTAGGGTGGTTATCTTTGCAGCGCTGCAGGACGAGGACACAGCTTAAATGCTGGCGGTAGGTCAGGAGCAGCAGCTGCAAAAGCTTTTTGCCCGCACTGACCTGCCGCACGTAGCCGCACGTTGCCCGTGGCACGTACTGCGCAGGAGCTGGCGCGCGTGTGTGTGTGTGTGTGCAGGCATTTCCAAGGCAACGTGCATGCAAAGTTCAATGTACCGCTGCACAGTGCGACGTCGAGTCCAAGGACATTGATACGTGGCGTTGCATGCAACCAAACCCAGCAGCAGCAGCAGCAGCAGCAGCAGGAGCAGGAGCAGTTGGCGACGAATTGTTATGTCTATGCAGAGCCCATAAAACTGTGCCACCAAAATGGCATTGACGAAATGAGCAGCGCAACTAAGTGTGGCAGTGGCAGCAACTGAGCGTGGCACGTTGTCGCAGGTAACCGTGCCACATTGACAGCTCAACAGGCGGGCTCTGAGCGCTGTCCAAGTCATGTTTCGAACCCGTTCGAACATTCTGAATGAAGCAAGTCAAATAATTCAAATGATTCGAATCATTTGAATGAATCAATTCATAATGAGAACGCACTCTGTGCATTCACTGAGTCAGAGTCAGTTTTCACACGATTCAGTTGAACCATTCATTTATGAATCAGGCGAACATTGATTAGAACTATTTTATATGCTTCGAAGTGATTCATATGATTCGAATCATTCATTAAGTCTTTTTTAATTTGAATCATTTTATAAGAATCAAACAATTTTCAGGACTTAGTTATGAATCATGTGAATATTGACTCATGTGACTCAAGTCATTCACTCAAATGAGTCTTTTTTAATTTGAATCATTTTTAAGGAATCAATTTAAATAAATAAATAAAGTTATGAATCATGTTAATTTCGACTCATATGATTCGAATCACTCACTCAGCTGTTCATTTGGTTTATCTTAACTTGAAACATTTTAAAGAATCAAACAATAGAAATGATTCAGCTATGAATCATGTGAATATTGGATCATATGATTCACACCATTCACTCAACTGAGATAAATGAATATCTTAATTTGAAATATTTTATTATGATTCACAAACGAATCAAATGATTCGAAAGACTTTGTAATATATTCAATTAATTGAAATGATTCAATTTTTGATTAGAATGCACTCAATTCTTTAGTTACAATTTGAATCATTTTTTAAGAAATAAAAATGATTCATTTAATTTATTAATTTTTGACTCATATAAATATTGCTTTCAAATCAAATAATTTCAATGGTCTTATATGCTTTGATATGATTCAAATCATGCACACATTTAGCTTAAGCTTAGCCAGATGATTCGACTTGCTTCGTAACATTTAGAAATGATTCATGATTTATGCATTCATTGCATGGCAAATGCTGTGATGTAGCCAATGCCAGGCGATTCAATGGCTTCCAATGCATGGCTCGATTTGATGAGAATGATATAACATACATATATATGTATCTATATAACTGAAGCTTTGCTCTCGATTCCATTCCATAGCCATTGGCTGAGCGAAGTCTGACTGAATGATTCACTTTGTTCGCTCAGCTGAGCTTCGTTTTATTAGACAGGGTATGCAGCAGTCGATCATTTAAATGTGTTCTACATGAATTCATCGACTTTGCTGTGTTTAATAAGTCGAGATTTAACCAAGTCCAGACGTCTAACTGTGTCTAACTGTCTCGCTCACTCATGCTGCCCCGCTCATCCCCTCGCTCACTCACTCTATTGATGTGTTTGGCATTTGAATTGCTCATTTCACAAATTTATTTATTTTTGCGCATTTTATTTAATTTTTCTTTTATTTTCGCAATTTTGTTTTTTTTTTTTTGATTTTATTTCATTTTTATTTTTGCCCCTGTAACGAGCTCTGTCAATGTGCAGGGGCGTGCAAGACTCAGACACCCACACACACACACATGCACACCTACATAGACTCACACACACACACACACACACACTGAGCGCTTGATGATTGTCGTTTGAATTGCGTCGTGCGTTGAATTCAAGCGCCAAGTGAAAGTTGTTCAATTGTTTATTATGATTATTGTTGCTATTACAATTACTATTACTTATGCCATTGTTGTTGCTGTGGCTGTTGCTGCTGCTGTGCGTTTGGCTTTGACAGTTGGCAGCGTTTGCAGCGCATATTACGCATACGCCCCGCTTAACTGGCAAGTTCAAAGGCAACGATCGAGCGCGCCCCCGCAACAGCCACAGCCACAGGCACAGCCAAGCTCCACTCGCCACTGGTCACTCTCCTATTGCCCGCTCCGCCCCCGCCCCTGCCCTCACCCTTCCCCTCTACGCTGAGCCGTGCCTCGCATTTAAAAAGACAGAAACAATTTTGTAATTGTTAAAGTGCAAATCCACAAAAAATTACACAAAAATAAATCAAATAAACTGAAAATAAATAAAATAAAATAAGCTACAAATACGAATAGAAACACAAATAGAAATAAAACCTTTGCGCCGCACAAAATTTGCACTTTTTTCACTTTCTCCTTTTGTGCACGCTTTTGACATTTTAATTGCTTTTTGCCCATTAAATGCAAAGCGAGAAAACTGGCTTTGGGGCGTGGCAGCTGGGCCGGGCGAAGCATTAGAGCAGCCAACAACAAGTTGAGCCGACAGCAGAATGCGAAGGGCAAGCGCAGAGCGAGATGGAGAAGGGAGCGAGAGAGGGCAAAGAGAAGAATGAGAAGCGATAAGGGGAGTGTGAGGATAACGGGGAAAGGGAACAAAAGGATAAGAAAGAGAAGACATGCATGGCAGAGAGTGAGAAAGAGAGAGGAAGAAATAGAGCAAGAGCGGTGGAAGGCGAGGGAAAAGGAAATAATGGAAGAGGGAATGAAAGAGTGGGAGAGAAAGAGACAGAGAAAGAGACAGTAACAGAAAGGAAAAAAGAGAGAGAGAGAGAGAGAGAGAAATTAATACGGAGAATGTGTGAGCAAGAGAAAGGAAAAGAGACAGGAAGAAGGGGCGATAAAGAAAGAGAAAATTAAAAAAATTTAACAGAAAGTGAAAACCAATGAGAGAGAGAGAAGGAGTAGCAAAGACAGAGACAGCAAGAGAAGGATAGAGAGAAAGAAAAAGATGTATAAATAGAAAGATAGGGCAAGAAAAAGCAAGAGAGAGGGAGAGAGACATAAATAGACAGAGATAAAGGAACAAACGATAGAAAGTAGAAGAGCTAGAGAAATAGGGAGAGAGAGAGAAAGAGAGAGAAAGAGAGAACAAGAAGAAGATTAAAGCCTGAACAAAAGGCAGAGAGTCTCAGAGAGAGAATGACAGAAAGAGAGCGTGAGACAGAGTGAGGCAGAGTGAGACAGAGTGAGACAGACTGAGACAGAGTGAGACAGAGTGAGACAGAGCGAGACAGACTGAGACAGAGTGAGACAGAGGGAGACAGTGAGACAGAGCGAGACAGAGTGAGATAGAGCGAGGCAGAGTGAGACAGAGCGAGATAGAGTGAGACAGAGCGAGACAGACTGAGACAGAGTGAGACAGAGCGAGACAGAGTGAGATAGAGCGAGACAGAGTGAGACAGAGTGAGACAGAGCGAGACAGAGTGAGATAGAGTGAGACAGAGCGAGACAGACTGAGACAGAGTGAGACAGAGCGAGACAGAGTGAGATAGAGCGAGACAGAGCGAGACAGAGTGCAGGAAACAGGCAAGAAGCGAGGCAAGCATCAGCAGCAAACAACATTCAAAGAGTTTTGCAGTTAAATTCGCAGTTCGTAGGCCACAGCTGAGCAGGGCCAGGGCCACACACGCAGCTATAGGCATGTGTGTCTGTGTGTGTGTCTGTGTGTGTGTGTGTGTGTTGCTGCGATCTATTGATGCGCCTCACAAATTCTGATCTCGATTCGACGACAAAGTTCAATGACTTTGAGACTGGCAGAGAGCAAACGAAAGCATAAAAACAAATAATAAAATATAATAAATGCATATATATATAATATTTATATATAATATATATATATATATGTGCCTGCACTTATGTAACATTTACCCAGTAACGCTGAAAGCAGCAGGAAACCTAGAAAAACGTACAATGAAAAGTGAAAAAGCAGCCGCAGCAGCAACTGTTGCCGCTGCTCAGGCTTCAATTTTTGCTGTTTTTCTTGCAGTTGTTGAAAGGAAAAACTTGTCCCAGGCGGCGACGGCAACTGCAGCCAGTTTGAGCCCACGTTAGAAGCGGGCAACAGCAACAGCAACAGCAACAACAGCCTCTGCCACATCCAAGTCCAAATGATTGCAGCAATGTTAATGTTGCTGTTGCCCGCTTCTATTGCTGCTGCTGCTGCTGCTGCTGTTGCTGTTGCTGTTGGCCGTCGTCATTTCGCTTCCTTGTGTGACATAACAGCCAAGCGGTGGGCAGCAACACAAGCCAACAACAACGATGACAACGTCGATCTTTACCTCCATAGTGTGCCACATTCCAGTTTTTCTCGAGCTGCATTTCGTGTGGCTGGAAAATCCCGTTTTGCTTTTATTTTTGCCCATTCACTGATTCGATCAGACGGCGTAATGAAAATGAGAAAAATGGCAAGCTAACTAACAATGCCAACTGCAACATGTACAACAGCAACAGCAACAGTGCAACGTTGCCGTTGCAAGTTTTACTTTCGTTTTTCACGTAACAAGCAGCAGCAACAACAACAACAACAACAACGATGACAACAGCAGCAAAAGGAAAATGGTGTTAGCAGGCAATGTTGCCGCTGCCACAGACGGGGGCACGCAGCCAGGGGGCAGCTTGCTCCATTGCTGCTTGCTGGCGATCAATTGCAACGGCAACTGCAAGCAGGAAGTGCAGCAGGCCAAAAAGATGCAATGCGAAAGCGAGACAGACAAATGCATTAAACTTGCACGTTGCTTGTTGCATGTTGAATGTTGCACGCTGTCAGTGCGGGTGGCAGCCCAAAAAAAGCTAAAGAAATGTAAAGAGAAGCGCAACGAAAAGCCAAAAGGGCGCCGCAGCCGAAGTGAAGCAAGCTAAACTGCTCGACTTGCCACATACCCTAACTTCCTGCCACGCACTCCAGCTGCAGCTGCAGCCACTGCCAAAGACTCTCGCAGTGCTGAGCCTTCGCTAAAGAATTCTTTTGAGAGACTTTTGAGCGGCATACATAGAGTCTCAACATTTGTATTCGAGGCGAGCCCTGAGCCCAGAATTTTAGACTCAAATTCAATTTATATTTAATTAAGAGAAAAGCAGATGTCACTGATGAGGTGCCTATTAAGCTGGTAGGTAACAGAGAACAGATGGAGGCAAATGTTAGGAGTCAGTCAATCAGTCAGTCGGTCACTCAAGGCAGACAAGCAATCAATCAATCAGTCAATTATGCTGACAGTAAGACACTCAAGTCGGTCAGTCAATCAATCAATTATGCAGCTTGTTCGCTAGATAATCAATCAAGCAGTCAAATAGTCAATCAGTCAGTCGGTCAATCAAGGCAGGCAAGCAATCAATCAATCAGTCAATTATGCTGACAGTAAGACACTCAAGTCGGTCAGTCAATCAATCAATTATGCAGCTTGTTGGCTAGATAATCAATCAAGCAGTCAAATAGTCAATCAGTCAGTCGGTCAATCAAGGCAGGCAAGCAATCAATCAATCAGTCAATTATGCTGACAGTAAGACACTCAAGTCGGTCAGTCAATCAATCAATTATACAGCTTCTTGGCTAGATAATCAATCAAGCAGTCAAATAGTCAATCAGTCAGTCGGTCAATCAAGGCAGAGAATCAAGTAAATGCCAGTCAATATGAACAGATAAACAATGCGGTCAGTCAGTGCATCAATCAATCATTCAATCAATGAATGATTTATATACAGCCGGTAACAGACAATCAATCAAGCAGTCAGTCAATCAGCCAAGGCAAGCGGTCAATCCATCAGTCAATCAATCAATTATACAGCCATTCAATCAATGAATCAAGTATGCAGCCACTCAGAATGATAATCAATCAAGCAGTCACTCAGTCAATCAGTCAATCTATCAATCAATCAATTATACGGCCAGTTGACTATGCAATCAATCAAGCAGTCAATCAAGCAGCAAGTCAATCAAGGCAGATAATCAATCAAGCAGTCAATCAGTCAATCAATCAGTCAATTAAGCTGTCAATCAATCAATCAAAGCTGTCATGCAGCTATATAATCGAACTAACAGGCAATTATTCAGTCAAATGATGAGTGAACAGTCAACACATTCAGCTTGGTCAGTCCATCAATCAGTGAGTCAATCAGTCAATAAGCCTATCAAATTTGTTTGCCGACTGACTAACTAACCGTGTGAGTAAGATAGTCGATTAATAATATATATATTAATGGCATAAAGCATAGATCTTCCAGGAACTTTAGGCAATCAGTCAAGCTATCAATCCATCAATCAATCAGGAGTCGTATCAAGGCTGATTAGCTTATCAGACTCCTATATATATATATATATATATATCGTATACATATCGTATATATATATCTATATATCGTATATATCATATATATCGTATATATCATATATATCGTATATATATTTCCTTACTTTCACGCCATTGTCTCGAGTGTTTCGGGTTGGGACGAGCCCGGGTTGAACGTAGGTCTAGGGCTGCGACGGCGGCAGCTGCAGTCGCCTCCTGCGGCTTGGCCGCGCCTCGTGTGCATGCCCCGCGCCTCTCTGAGTGGAGTCGACGTAACTGACACAACTTGTGGCAAGTTGAGACGGCAAAATCGAAACGTTGCGATCGTTAGGCAAAAGTTGCAAAAAAGAAATAGAAAAACGAAAAACGAAAAACGAAAAACTGGTTTTCCCTGCGAAAAGCAAGCGGAGTGAAAAATAAAAATAAAAATGAAGTCAGCGACGATCAACTTGGCCCGTTGCGTGTTTCAGCTAGCCATGGGAGGCAGGGGCCGGGGGTGGCATGGGCGCTGGGGCAGTCGATTACTTCATCGACGGAGAGAAAGTGGCAGGAAAAACTGTTGCAGTTGCAGCCGTCGCAAGTTGCAACAAGATGGCGTGTCATGGCTGGCGCTGCTGCCACGCTGCAACATTTCCCCATTTCCCATTGCAACTTCAGCCATGATTATGTGGCATTAACTTTAGCTTACGTAACCTCCAATGCAATGCAATGCAATGAAAAATTGCAAATCGTATGATGGCCGACACCGACACCCCGGCCACACTGGTTATGCAGCATGCCCCATGCACCGCTCAAGCTACCCCTGGCCCGCGTGCAACTGGCAAATGTTGCGCAAATGAAGCCAACAAGGAAAACAACAACAAAGGCAGCGACAACTCGACGATCGTCGTCGTTGAACGTGAAAAGCGGAAAACTTTTGCAGCTTGTGGCACACAAAAAAAAATTGAATATAAGTGGTTGGCGGATGGGCGGCAGGGAACGGGGGAAGGCAGTGGGATCATGCACAAGCCAAAGGCAATTGGAAACCGTTAGCTTTAAGGTTAGGGTTCAGCTGATCACCGATCGATATATGGGTTAGTTGAACTTAGGCCGAAGCTATGATATATGGGGTTACATCTATCATATGGTAAAAAGTAATAATAATAATTAAGAAGAGCTAGGAAACGGCATAGATTTCAGAGGAGATTCAGAAAATGTCTTTAGTTGTGGATGTTGTGGATTGCAAGTGGATTTAGCATCGCATCAAGACTTAATATAATTATTAGCATCAGAATCTGTCAACTGTAAGTCGTAAGCTGTTCTACAGCGATAGAAACAGTTAAATTGCTAAACAGAATTCACGAAGACGAGTGGATTCACTTTCACAACAGACTTTTAAGCACCGTCCACTTGTAGATTGAAAGAGTGTGTGTTGAGTGTGGACTGTGGAGTGGAGTGCCTGCCATTTGAAGGGGCGGCCAGACACCTTGAGGAGCACTTGGACAACATTGAAGCATAAACACACACCAACACACCAACACACACACACATAGAAATATGCGAATGCAAATGCAAATGCAAATGCAAATACATAGAAACAGGCTGGCTGTGGGTGTTGTTTTTGCAAAGTGTAGCCAGATATTGCATAAGCGGATTGCATAAGCCAGATCTGGCAACTTCGTTGCGATCAGCTCACCTGTTTTGTATTGTGATCCTGCCAAACGATTGCGTGTTATATGCTGTTCCTCTGCCTGACATGTCTGCAACAAAAGAAAATGGCGAAATGTACATGAGCATACATATGTGGAATGTGGAATGTGGAACATATGGCCTAACATTGTCATTAATATAGTCATAATTGCTTTACAACTCCTTCGCAGTGCAGCTCTCTCTCTCTCACTCATTCACACGCACACATGCAGACACACTAGAATATACCAATATGGAGCATTGCATTTCACTCTTGTTTTCGATTTCATTTTCGTTCGCTCGGTCGCTGGGTCGTTGGAGCAGCAACCGCAGCAGCAGCTGCTGCTGCTGTCGCAGTCGCAGCCAACGCCAACGTCATCAGCGCAGCGAAGCTTTTCTAAACGCTCTCTCGCTTATGTGCGCTCTCTCTTTGCTGTCTGCTAGACTCGCTCTCTGTGCTCTCCCTCTCTCTCGGCTGCACATGCAGCGCAACTGACGTCGTCGTCGTTAGCTTATGTTATTCAATAGCGCACGCCGCTGCCAGTGCTACTGCATTTGTGTGCGTGTGTGCTTTTGTATTTTATGTTGTTTTATGTCTCTCTCTCTTTGAGTGTGTGTGTGTGTTTGTGTGTGTCTTTGCTATCTGCCGCCGTCGTCGCCATCGCCGTGGTATTGTACGTTGCCTATTGCCACTGCAACGGCTGAAACGACCTCCTACAGGTCTTTGACCCAGTGCGACGACGATGCCGCGCTCTTGCCCGCTAGCCCCTTCCCTCTCGCGCGCTGCCATGACGTTCGCTTAGCTTTTCATTTGCACGTTATTATTATTTTCCTCAGTTTGGTTCGCTCACTCGCTCGCTCGCTCGCTCGTTCATTCGTTCATTTGTCTGCTCGCTCGCTCGCTCGCTCGCTCCTTCGTTTCGTTCATTCGCTCGTTTGTTGTTGCTGTTGATGTTGTTTCTTTCTTTCTTCTTTTGTTGTTGTTGTTTTTGTTGCTGCTGCTGCTGTTTTTTCCTTTTTCTGTTTGGCTTTGGCTTTGGCTCTTGTGTGTGCATTTCCCTTGTGCTGTGCGCCCGCCCATTTGCTTTTCTTTCAGCCATTTCCCTACTTGCGTTTTCTATTGATGCGTGTGGGCCAACCTAACCCTACAGACAAACCATAAAGAACCACCCGCCACCCACCCGCCACCTGGCTACCACCCGATGATAAAGCATCTGCAGCGCGCCTAATCGCAGGCATTTCGAGGACTGGGCAGAGAGGAAGCAGCCGCATTCATACATATATTTGCTTCTTCTGCCACTTCTGGTTGCACGTCTTCCACTTTGTTTGCGCTCAGCTGCTTCTTATTTATTGCACCGTTAACTGGGTTGCATTTTATTTTGTGTCTGGCATTTGATTTTGGCAGCTCGTGCACCCGTGCGCGCGCCCCCACCCACGCCCACTGGCTAATACCACATTATGTGGCATGTGGCATGTGGCAGATATGGCACGTGGACGCACGTGGAGCGTCGACATTTCATCGGCATTGTTGCCGCAACGCCTTCGAAACTGGCGCAGCCTTCGACCATGTAAAAAACCACTTGAGGCAGCTGATATCAGCACAGACAAAGACAAAGAAGGCGACACAAGGAGGAGGAGTGGGAGAGGGAGAGAGAGAAAGAAACACACACACACACACACACACACACACACACACACATGCAGCTTGCTTTGAAATCACTGCATTGCTCTATAAACTTTTAACCCAATTTTTATGCCTTATTTACAGAGACAGCAATGTTTTATTGTATGCTACTCACACACACACACACACACACACACATACTAGGTGGCTGCCTGCCATTGATGGAGTCATCCGCCTGGCGCTGTTTCATCTTCGTTTTTCCCGTTATTTATGTTCTGTTCATTTCACAGAGTATTTATAACTGTTCCACTAAGAAAGACAGCCTGAGCGAGTAGGTGGCGGCAAGGGGGGGGGGGGGGGTGATCTCATGGGACAAAGTAACTGTACTTCAAGGATAAACCATTCGAAATTTACTTCCATTGACTTGCCACGCAGCTTGGCTTTATCGATCGTTATCGATAACTGTTTGCGTTATCGATTCATGTGCGCAGGCAACGCTCACAAATCCTCGACCTTTGCATCGTGGCAAACATTTAATCAGCGTCCGAGCAACGACTGCAACAATTTCCATGCCGAATTCGTGTGGCAGGCAGGCGAAAGAGTCAATGACATTGCCACAAGCTGTGGCAGCAACCAAAACGTGCCTGTGTGTGTGTGTGCATATAAGTGCATCTATATGTGGACTGGGACATGAGCTGCACATGCAGCGCTCTCTGCTGCAACAACAACAACAACAACAACAACTCTTGAGTGCCAACTACTGCCCTACATTCAAGGCAACGACTCGGAGATAAGCGCTCACACACACACACATTGCCACTGCCAGCAGACACTTCTATGTGGCCCCCCAGCATTGCAGCCCAGCCCCTCCCCCTGCCCGTTGGTCTGCTGCACACACACACACAGAACAAACTAAAAAAACAACAACAACGCAACAGAGCAACAAAAAAATTCCGCTTCAAGTTCCAGAGTCTGTTCCGCATGTGTCTGTGTGTGTCTGTGTGTGTGTGTGTGTGTGTGTGTGTAGACATTCTAAGCGGTCATAGTCCCAGTAAACTTTCGCCTGCCGCATTTGGCGGCTGTCGTGGGCGTTTCAGCTAGAATATTGAGCAGAGGCAAATGCAATCACCGAGCCGTCGAGCCGTCGAGCACCTCTACTCAACCACATACATCACTGTAGCAGTTGGTCAGTCGATCAGTCAATCAATCAATCTGTATTTAATTCCGTCATACAGCCGTTGATCAGTTGATGAGTCGATCAATCGGTCAGCTCAAATAGCAAAAGAAAGTTGAACAAGCAGTAGGTCAATCATTCAGTCACTCAAAGCAATCAATCAATCAATCGACTCAGTTAGACGAACTGTGAAATTCCTCTGTCAAATCGCTCAATCAATCAGCCAATGCGTAGAGGAATCAGTCTGTAGTCGTCAATCATTCAATCATTCAATCATTCAATCAATCAATCAGTTGGTGCCTAAGGCAATTGATCAATCACTGAATCATGCCCTCAATCACTCAGTTATTTAGTCAAGCAATCTGGCAATCAGCCATTCAATGCATCACTCAATCAGTTCCTCATTTAGTCTGTCAGTGAGCCACGTGAACGACTGAGAGATACCCTTTAAAATTTGTTTTTCTCACATATTTTTAGAAAGAATCGTAGATGAGAAAGCGACGCTTTTATGGAGTATAAAACTCTTTCGCTTGCCATCTCTTTCTCTCTCTCTCTCTCTCTCTGTCTCTATGTCTCACTTACTTTCTATTTGTCTCACTTCTCGCTTTCTCTCTGTCTCCTCTCTCACACTCTTCGCTCTCTACCTACTCTCTCACTGTACCTTTCTCTCTCTATCTCTCTCTCTCTCTGTATCTCTTTCTCTCTCTATTTCTCAACTCTCTTTCTCTCTCTCTATCTGTCTCTTTGTCTCTCTCTCTATCTCTTTCTCTGTCTCTCTCTTTGTCTTTCTCTCTGTGTATCTCTATCTTTCTCTCTCTCTCTCTCGCTCTTTCTCTCTCTCTCTCTATCTCTCTCTCACTCTCTCTCTGTCTCTCTCTCACTCACTCTCTCTCTCTCTCTGTATCTCTTTCTCTCTCCCTCTATCCCGCCCTTTCACCTGTGTCTCTCTCTCTCTCTTTATCTCTGCCTCTGTCTCTAGAGTCCCATGAAGACATTAGATCTTTTGGGGTATTTTTCTTCTCTCTAGTTTTCTGGTTTCGTATTTCAATGAAAATTGTTTTGGAACTCGTAACTTCTTGCAGCGCGTTCAATTTGCACTTTGAACTTGACTTGCCCCCGCCGTGCTCTGTCCCTTTCGGTCACACGCTCTCTCCCTCTCTGTCCTGCATGCTGCTGTTAGCTCTTTGAGTCTCATTCCATAAATTTCACTAAACTTGAATTAAAAGTTTTCATGATCAACGACCAACGATGCGATGTAATCTGCTCCCCCGCCCAGCGCTCTCTGCCCCACTGCCTGCTCGCGGCAGAGACAACTTCCCAAAGGGGCAAGACCAAAGCGTTCAAGAGAAACAAAAACAAACAGATGGGTAAGCGACAGCCAGCGGCAGAGTGAGCGAGAGACAGAGACAGAGAAAGAGAGAGAGAGAGAGAGAGAGAGAATGGGAGTCGGAGCAAAAGGGAAAGATATGGAGTAAAAGTGAACGGGCAAGTTCAAGTTTATTTTCTGATGAAAAAATAACAAAAAGCCATAAGAAAAGAGAGACCGAAATATGTATATAATATTATAGACAACAACAACAACAACAACAACAACAACACGCACGAAAAAGACAACCAAAATAAAGGGCAAACAGAATCAAGCGCGATGCGATGGAAACTGCTGAGAGAAAGGGGAGAGCCGCGTGAGCGGGAGAGTCAAGGGGCAGAGGAAAGGTGTGACAAGTCATATTTAAAGTGTGTGGGAGGGAAAGAGAGAAGGAGAGTGAGAGAAGGGAGTGACAGAGAGCAATTGAAGTCAGAGGGACGGACTGCAGGCAAAACATAAATAAAATAGCTGCAGCTGAGACACACACACACAGAGCCAGTGTTGACCCCCAAAAAAAAGAGAGAAAAAAAACAACCGTTTTTTTTTCAAACTGTCTGTAACTGTAACCGGTTTCCACACTGACGCCAAAGCCGCTGGGTCGCTACCCTCAGCAGAGCAGTAGCAACAAAAGTAATAATAATAATAACAATAACTACAAAGTTAACAAATGCGAAAGACAGTTAACAATCTAACTAAGTAGCTGGACGCTGAAACTTTGAAGTGCCGCCTCGCCAGGTTTCATCAATGCGCAAGCCCCACGAAAAGAAGCGCCCTGCGACGTTGCAAAGAAAAAGTGAGAAATATTGAGCCAAGTAATAAACTGAAAAACTATTGAACGTGAATTGTTAGCCAACCAGGGGAGGGCAGGGGGTTGCAGCTGGGAAATACCCTGTAGGGGGAAGGCACT